CCACCCCTGCCCTCTTCCTCCCATGGTTTGTGTCAGTTGAGAAGCAAATGGCAGCTACGGACACTCCTCCTAGATAAATGCACATGACAGCTTGTCAAACCCTTCCAGGAGATTCTGAGGACACGGCCACGGGGCTAGAAAGCCACAGAGCCAACAGGAGCACTGGGAAGCCCCAGGCCCTTGGCCTCTCCCAGATCCGTGCTCTCATTCATTCCTGAAGCCAAAGATGGAACAGAAGGCAGGAAAGGCCAACCTTGAAGGAGAGCAACCTCAAGTCACAAATGAACCCCAGAGCCTTCCCAGAGACCAAGGAGAAAGATGAAGATGGAGGGCTCTTGCTCTTTGGGAAATAAGGACCCAACTTCTTTCCAGTAAGCATCTGCCATGGAGAAACAATATGGGATGAGATATGAAAACCAGGCTTTCTTTCCCCATTCCACCAAGGGCTCACGAATACCTGGGCCAGGCTTTTCACTTCTCTGAGCTTTCATATTAAGTCATCGGCAAGGCCCTACCCGGCTCTGGGTGCCTAGGATCCAAGGGAGGGTCTGTTCTTATCCTGTTCTGAAACACAGCTCAGAAACACAGCAGAAGAAAATCCAAGCCTGAAAGTGAGCAGCTTGATTCAAGGGCCCAAGAATGAGCAGGAAGCCCAGTGGTGGGGAGAAGAGCCCCTCTCCAAACACTTCAAAAGCAGCTACCAGGCGATCAGGTAAGTTACACAGAACTGCCGTTGAGAGTTTGGAGAATCCTCAAAATATGCAATTTGTGCGTGCCTATAATCCCAGGAGGATGAGACAGGAGGATCACAAATTGGAGGCCAGCCTCAACAGTGACACCCTGCCTCACTAAAGACTAGGATATGGCTCAGCAGTAAAGTACCCCTAGGTTCAATCCCCAGTACCAAAACAAAACAAAACAAAAACCTGCAATCTGCCTATTTGTATTTCATAGTCTATCTGCTCGCAGGATTCTCTCTCCATCCTAACCACCCACCTCCTACTTCTTCCTTTCTGATCGGAGCAGTAAACAGTATAACCTTAAAACAAAGGAGTGAACCCCCAAATTGAAATAAAAGTGAAGAACAATGTCACGGATGACAGAAGTGAATCTGGAATAGATAAAGGCAGCCCCACACTAAAACATCTATGCAACCTGTGAAAGCACCACACTAGACAGGGCTTGAGGGAGACCTTGCTCGGCCTCTCACTGAATCACAGGATATCAGCGCTGGGGAGGAACCAGGGCGCACATTTCAACAGCTCCTCATTGCTCAGAAGAACCTGTTGGGTGGCTTTACCATAAGTGCCCAGCAGTGGACTACCTTCTGCAGAAGGACATACCTGCGGGCCTACCCTCGAGATTCCAAACAGCCAGGAGTCCAGCGGAACAGGGACATAAGGGCCTTTCGTGCCATTGCTGCCTTCTGCATTTGTTCTAAGATAAGAAGGAGCACCACAGGCCTTTTGCAACCAACATATGTGAAACCAACTACATCCCAGGTGAGTGCTCTGAAATATTTACGACTTAGTCCTTCCTGGGGGCTCTGTTATTGCATTGTAACTTAACTATTTCTGCTATACCACCTTTGTGTGCCCCAAACAATGAATCATCTAGCCTAAACAGATATTTAATAAACATTTGCTGGGATTAAACTCTCTCCTTTATCTCTACCCCTAGAATGCATTTTTTAAATCTAATACACAGCAGAGACCATGTGATCAATTTTCTGGTATGCCCTTCTAGATATTCAAAGTTGTAGGTTCCCAATACATATTTGTAAATGAATGATTGATTAGATGATTAGCCCCAAATCCTCCAAGCTATGTCTGAGGACCCTTCACATGTAAGAACTGAGAAATTCCCATAGGCACGTTTGAGTTCTTTGCTGTTCTCTGGGCTTCTCCATCCCTGGAGGTGGGAGGGAGATAGGAAGAATAACCTGAGAAGGTTTCTCAGGAAATCTACATTTTTTAAATCTGTTGGTGTTGAAACCGGTTATTACAGAAGAAAACTTGTATTCAATAAGGATTCCTTGAACACACCCCTATGAACATGGACATACGTTTCAGAAACATATACGTCACATGCCTTTGTTATACGCTGGCATCTACTGGATACCTCAACAGCAAATTCTTAGATGAGTGATAACACTTCTGGTCTTTAATGGCTATTTTCATTTGGAACTGTTAGCAAGTCAAAAGTGTTAGTTTACCCCTTGCTCAGGTTCAGTACTTCCTGAGACATCAAGGGCCCACTCAAAAAAATAAAAAGTAGTCCTAATTTAAATAAAAAGCTATAGGCTGCCAAGAAAAAACACAAAGGAGGAAAGTTGCCCTTGCCCTACTGAAGCCTTAGCCAAGTCATCTCTTGCTGAGCCTCAGTGCCCTCATCTATAAATGGGGTGGGTACTCCTCTCCCTCAACATCTTTTTAATAAGAGCAATTAAGGGTTAAGCCTGGAAAGTCGTAGAGACATATTGTAATTCTAGCAATCTGTTAATCATGCATGGCATTGTACCCCAGAACGCACCACGAAATTACTGCCTCTGAGCTGTTCCTAATCCAGGACAGACACTTGACACAACAGATGAGGTGGTCTATGTGTAAGTGGAATCCTGTTTTCAAACACTCAGAGGGAGTTTCCTGGGGTCATGGAAACCAGTCCTGGCCGCCTTCTAGCATCTGTTGAGGGGGCATTCTGTTCCTGGATAATTGGATTGTCTTGAAATTCAAGCAATTTCCTCGCATGGCCTGGGCCGAGATTCCAGAGGTTTTCGGCCCAGTCCCAGCCCTGGGCAGGAGGAACCAGGGCGGTCAGCCTGGTGCCCCTCCCCGCACTCTGGGCGGCTCCTTCCTCTCCAGCTCCGCACGGTGACACTCGTGCTGTGTCACTTTCACCCTGCGGAAGCTCCAGCCGGCGCTGAGTCGGCAGCTTCCTCCGGGGTGGAGCGGACCCCTAGCCGGGGAGATAATCCCGGGCCGCTGAGATGGAGCGCAGCGCGCGAGGGAATGGCGGGCAGCTGCGCGCGGCCGGCTGAGCTGCGGGCTGCAGCGGGCTGGGCCTGGGCTGCAGCGGCCGGGTAGACTTTGGTCCCCACGGTCCCCAGACTTAAGAATTGTCGGGGGGCGGAAAGGCTCAGAGCGCGCGGATTCTCTCCAAGGCCCTCGAAGACAGCGACGGGCACGCGCACCCACAGGGCGTCTCGGTGCAAGGGTCAACTAGCGTGTCAGGGGGCGGGGGCGGCGACGCGCGCGCCCGCGGCTTCTCCCCGCCCCGCCAGACCAGCCTCCTGCGCCTTGGGGTTGGAAGACAGCTGGAGGGGTCAGGGGACATAGGGAGCACTGAGACAGAGGCTGTACTGAGAGCAGGGGACTCCCACACCTCTGACGAGCACATTCGACCCTAGGGTGTCCCCCGGCCCAGAGTCTCAGATTTCCTCTCCAAGTAACCCGGGAGCGCGCGCGCGCGTGGAACCACATCTGACAGCGAGTCCAACTCGAGCCACCAGCGGCTGGCTGGACCGATCCCGCGCAGGATCCCGACCACGCGGGTCCCCACTACGCCGCGGTGTGCCCCGCCCCCCACGCCACGCCTGAACAGTGTGTACACACACAAACAGCTGGGCGGGGGAGGCGACGCCTCGCTCCCGGGGTAGGGACGCACACGGCGCCGCCAGCCATCCTTCCCCTCCGCCCGCCGCGCCCCCTTCCTGGCTCGCACACACACCCAGCCCCGGCCCCGAAAACTCCGCGAAGCCAGACAGCCTACCCGGCACGGGCAGGGACTTGGACCCCCGAGTGTATTTAACCTCAACCAGTTCCGATGCGCGGTCCAGAGGTCGCCTCTTCCCGTGCCTCCAGGTACCCCGCACACCATATCGGGGGACCCCAGACCTCCGCAGCAGCGGAGCCGCCGTCGCCGCCCCGCCCCCCTCCCCCCGCGCGCCCGCCATTCCCGGCGGCGAGACAGTCACCTGCTTGTTGTCCTGAAGAACGGGAGCCAAGCCCACTCCGCAGCCTCTCGGGTCACTCTCCACCAAGAGCTGGCTTTTCAGAACCTGTCAACTTAACCCCGGTACGACCGGGCTTATCTATTCTCCAGGTCCGAGCGCACCGCGGCGACGGAAATAATAATTATAAAAGCCAGCAGAATCCCAACTGTGGGGAATGGCCAAAGCTGCGACCGCAGTTGATCCACCAATTCGGTTTTCTCCTCTGCTCCCATCCCCCGCGCCCCCCACGGCCCGCGGGCTGGCTGCGGACGGAGGGAGGGATCTGCTGCCTGTCTAGACGACGGCCATCCACAGACATCCTCGAGCACGCGGGGACCGGCGCGCACACTCACACACGGTCGCTGCCACAGACACAAACCGTCAGCACCGCAGGGAGGGGAGGTGTGGGGACACACTCGCGGGGTCCCTCCGGCAGCTCCGAGTGCGGCAGCCGGTAGCCCCGAGCCACCATCCCGAACCTCGCTCCCTACCTCGGCGAAGCGCGGTCAGAACAGCTGCAAGTTTGCCTGGTACTAAACCAACTGCTCGCTGCAGCAAATGCGAGCTTCAAAACAAAAGGGAGAGGAATCACGCTCGCTCGCTTCCTCCCCCCGGGTCGGAACCCGGCACATGACAGCAGCTATACTGTGCCGCTCCAACGCGACTCCGCTCCAACCGACCGTTCCCCAAGAACCCCCCTCAGCTCCGGAGCTCCAGGGCCACGGCTCCCTACCGGGCGGGGAAAAGGGCAGAGAATGGGACAAACCCAGGGACGGGGCGAGATCGTAGGGTGCAGTCCCCTACAGAGAGAGGGAGGAGAGGGACCGTGGATGGGTGCGGACACCCGGCTCGCACAGGCGCAGGGAGGGGGAAGGGGGCTAATTGTTTGGGGCGGTTTTCCAGGATTTATCTATAAGCTCGCGCACGTCACGCAGCCCTCCTCCCGGGTCCCCGAATCGATCGGCAAGCTGGAACGACTAAAGGAGGACGGACGAGGGATGCTCACCTCGGGTTTCCTCTGGTCGCCGCGCCAAGCCCGCGTCGGGGGTGGGGGAAGGGGACAGGGAAGGGGAAGGGAGGGACCAGGCTCCAGAGAGCCTACTCCTGCCTCGAGTTCGGCGCGTCCCAGCTGCGGAGGGGATAGGGCGCCCCGGCGCACCGATCCAGCCGAAAGGGGAGGGAGGGAGGGAAGGGAAGGAGGGAGGGAGGGGCGGGTAGGGGGGAGGGAGTAGAGGAAGGAAAAAAAATGATCCCGGTTCTGACACAGGGAAAGAGAATGTAGGAGAGTGACGTCCAGGCCCCGCCTCCCCCTCCGGCCACGTGCAAAGACTTGAAAGGGAAGAGAGCGGCGGGAGGCCTGCTGGGTAATGTAGTTCGCCTTTCTTTCCCGGGATGGCGGGCCCTGGAGAGCCGGGTGTCGCCGGGACGCCGGGGATGCCGCCTGAGTCGCCGAGACAGCCCAATCTAGCATCCCCGAAACAGGTCGCCCAACGATCCCCTGCGCTGGCGCAGCCCTGGGTGGCGACCTCTACAGTGGGGGCGGAAGCGCGGTGCAGGCTGGCAGGGAAACTCTACATTTTAGAGTCAAGAAAGCTCCAAGGATGAGGACTTCCGCGCGCAAAGTGCAAAGCCTGTTCTAATGGCAGATAAAAGAGAGCTTTGTGTAAGCACTGGGGGGGCCCAAGTGGCGTTATTAATGCTGCAGTAAGTGCCACCGTCGGTTACTGAGATGCATATGTTATGATTAACATTTGCGCATCTCTGTGGCAGGGGCGGGATGTTGTAATTAGATATGCACTTTACAACCAATTAATTTTCCATTGGCCATGCTAAAGACTGGGACATGGTAGCTACAAGAATTTGATGCAGTGCATAATCCAGTCATTCCTTAACCAGAGATCACCACAGTTTTGCTTAAAACTGAACTTGGCACGGAGGCCTTCAAGAGAAATATGATATTGTAGCTTCACCAGGCAGGGGGGTCAGGAAGGCATTGGAGGAACTGGGATATATAGAACGTATAGAAATCCATTTACTGATGATTTCTCATAACATTTGGTGAACACTCCCCATAGACCAGGCACTCCTGTTGTAATTAGATACAATAAGATCCTCAGTGTGTGCCCTCAAATTCAATCTAGTATAAGAGCCACCCTCAGTGAAAGTATAGGGGATAGTCAACGCTTCACATAGGGATAAACACAAAGTGCTATGGAACCCCTGGAGGAGGAGCCAACCAGGATGGAGGGTGGTCAGGTGGAAGAGGCTCTGGGAAGGCTTCCTGGAGGAGGTGGTACTTGAGCAAAAAATCGCTAAGACTTTTGACAAAGATAAAGGAAGCAGCTGGTATCTCACTAAGGCCATAGGGCACAAAGCCTCCAAATGTGAGGGAAGAAAGCTAATTCTGAAGGCCCTGGAGATTTGGCAGGACAGAGAAGGGGGCAGGTTGTTGGGGGACAGGTTAGTGCAGCCATCTGGGGCTGGCTAGAGGGTGAATGTGGAGGGCAGAAGGAGCCTGGGACAGGCTTCCCAGAAGAGGTGGGGCTTGGCCTGGGCTGGAAGGATGGGATTTTGTTTAGCATGGAGAGCTTGTCCTCTGGGCTTGGGACCCTGAACTCCCAGACATTGGTGGAAAGCAAAGCACCACGTACATCCACATCCTGTTGGAGGGAGGCTCATTTGATTCTTGGACTAAGGTCATGGTGGGTGTCTCAGCGCCCAGCTCCCCGCTCCCCGCTCCCCGCTCCCCTCTCCCCAGCTGGGGGAAGGCAGTGGGTCCAGAGACTTCAGCAGAGATCCTCCTTAGCCAAGAGCTGGTAAAAGGCGCAGTGGGTATCTGAAGGCAGTTGTCTGGGTGCCAGGCCCAGCCCTCCCCCACCACCAAAGGAAGGCATTTATGCACACCTGACTCCTCCTGCTGGGTTGTGCCTCTTAGCATTTATGCCTCATTGGCTCAGCAGTGAGTTATTTTTATGCTTTAACATCTGGACAATTTCCTGGGTTTACCAAATATTAACTAATAGTACTGGATTCTCTTCTTTCAGCAAATTCTCATTTCCTTACCTCGTTGTCAGTGCAGTTCTGCACATTGTGTGATAGGCCGCCATCTGCAAAGAATCAAGAATGCAATTGTCTGGGTCTTGGCTTTGCTCCGGCTTTAAACCACACCCCCAGAGGTGAGGAGAGGCTGAGCAATGTGTAGAATGTGAACTGTCCGTGGAGGGCAGGCCCCACAGAGGGGCATGGGCCTGGGTGAACCAGGCAGTACGGACAAGGACTCTCAAGTTAGCCTGACCCCTAGGTGTCAATCCCCAGCATAATCCTTCCCGCTTCTGCAACCTTGGGAAGCTGACTTAACCTCCAGGTGGGGTGACCTTTGGCATCTTATTCAACAGCTTTCTTGACCTTGTGAGAACCAGTGATCATAATGTACTTCAACTGGACCTGTCACATGGAAGGTGCTCAGTAATGGTCAAGTCTTTCTAGTCCCAAGGTCTTTGAGGCCAATAAGAATGAGCCCTGAATTTTCCTTTCAGTAGACTCAGAGCAGCAGAACCTGTGTCATAGGAAGGGATCCCAAAGTGGGGTGGGTGGAGCCTCCGTGCTAATGTGGGAAATAAGTTAGGTTTGTCCTCAAGGAACCTTGGCCCAGTTCTAGTCTTTGCCTACTACCACTCCCTCCCATCAGCTGATTTATATTCTCCCCCCTCCCCATTCTGCTTTCCAAAGACCCCCATACTGAGTCACCCCACCCAAGACTGCCTCTCTGGACGGGGCCCTGAAATCCCACGTGGCTATCCATCAAATTGATCTCCTACTTTTCACGTCCTCGGAGCTGGCTCTCTGCTTTACCTCCAGTCTAATAAGCCTTCACTGACCTTCCCAAGATCCTCTTCGTCCTCTGCTCTAACCCTGATGTTTTTGTCTTGTTGAAAGCTCTCCAGAGCAGCCTCCGATGATGGGCGTTTCTGGCTAGAATGGGGACTGTGGGTCCTCAAACTGAAGTTCCCAAGTAGGAGGCCAGGGTTTAGGTGGCCCTCATCTGAGACTGGCCTTCCCTACACTGTAGCTGGCCTTGACCCAGCCTGCCATCTGGAGTCGGAAAAGCTGCTGGTTGCCGAGTAGAGGAAGTAGGGGTCTTGGGGGGAAATGACACTGGCACTGGGTAACCGGAGCCTTGAGTAGCCAGGATCGCCTGACTTGTCACACCTAAGAAATGAGACCAGAAGGTTTCTTCTGTTTCCAGCTTTGCTTCTCCTAATCACACGTGCCTAAGACAGGAGCAAAAGGAAATATTTCTCCTTTCTTCCCATTTGGTCTCTCTGCACCCTCTGGGGCCTTTCCAGGGAGAAAGCACCCCCATTAGTCCTTACATTTATTTATTTTATTTTTGTGTCCTGGAGATGGAACCAGGGCCTCACACATGCTAAGCACATGCTCTACCACTGAGCTGTGTCCTTGCCCCCTCACCTTGATTGAAGGCCTGGTGGACACCCACCAGAGTCCTGGGGGCGAGAAGCCACCTGCCTGCAGGAGCTGAAAGACCAGGTTGACACCCAGGAGACAGATGAACTGCCCCATGGCATGAGGGTAACTTTAAAGTGGACTAAGGCCTGCAGTGCTCAGAGTAGGCTTCTGGAAGGAGGGAAGTACTAGAGGCACTGGATCTTCCCATCTGGAGGAGGCCAGCATGGCCCAAGTCCCTGCCTTGGCCTGGAAGCCCTGAGTGAGTTTTGGTGGGAGCAATAATGGCTTCACTGAGCCTTTTGGTGACTGATGACCTCGCAGGAGGAGGAGGTTGCCAGTCTGGTGTCTGTGCTGTGTTACTGTGGTGTCGGCCTAGAGAGGTAACAGCGCCATAGAACCAGGTTAAATTTCACCCATGCCTCCTCTCAGCTTCCACTGTATAACCTCAAAGACCATTGCCCGAAAGGCAGATGCAAAGTGACTGTGGAAGGTGACATGGGTGGTGGAGGAAGGGCCATAAAGAGAGAAGGATAAGCTTCAGGAAAGCAAAAGTGAAATGAGAAATAAACCAAGGGGTGTTCACGGGGAGCAGGCCATGCATGAGGGGTGGCCAGGCACCTATGGGGTCCCAGGTTCCACCTGCCCCTGTCCTGCGGTGCTGTATTTCCTCCCTCTGGCCTCAGTTTCCACACCTGTAAAATGAGATACTGAGACTCTCATCTCTAAGATTATCTCCAAGTCTGAAATTCTCCTTTCAAGAAGTTGTCAGTCTCATTGGCAAAACAAGCTGTGACATTGAGAAGCCCCAAAGATGAATTTTAAGCTGTTTCATTCCAGTGGAGCAGGGTTTGTGATATTCATTAAACAAAGCCCTAAAGTCCACGAACATGAAGCAAGCAGATCTTGTCTTGCAACATTCAAGGACAGTAAGTCTGAAGGCTGTGAGTCATTGGACATTCCTCAGGTCCCTTGGAGTTAAAGGTCAGAACTCACAGGCCAGTGGCCTGAGAGCCATCCAAAGCCTTGTCCCTGGAGGGGCGTGGAAAAAGATACACTCCACATCTCTCCAAGACACAAGTGTCCTTGTTTCCAGGCCATACTCCAGAAAAATGGAATCCCTCACCTCAGGAGAGGTAACCAAGGCTAAACTGACCTGCCCTGTACCCCTGATCCAAAGGCCCCATTGGCTAGGCTGGCCTGGCTCTCTCTATCTGAACCAATCAGATTCACTCTTGCAAAAATCTGAAGAATGAGACTGACAACTTCTGCTCCTTGGTGATGGGCCTAGGCTTTTGGACAGATGGGCCAGGTGCAAGAGGAAGAAGCAGTGCAGGGATCTGGAGCAGAAGGATGCAGGTCGGGGGAGATGTCTAGGGCAGCTTGGTTCCTAACTTTTCCAGTTCTTAGTCACTGGCTGCTTGACTGAGCCTTTCTCGAATCCCTGATTGTCCCGTGTCCTTATAGCCTCATCTTTGCCTTTCACTTGTGCTAGGTTGAGTGGGTTTCTATTCTTCATCATTCAAAGACCCACTGCCTGAAAGAGACCAAGCACGGGGAGAGGAGTCAGTCCTTTGTAAACCCTCCAGGTAGGACTCTCCTCCTAAAAATGTCTTCCCTCTTCTATCTTACATTCTCCCTCTTCAACCGGTTTTTAATTTCTATCTG